AATTTAACATTGCTCACATACTCCAAGAACTTTTTCTTTGCCTACGGTGTTAGAACGTAACAAGCTTTGGGCTTTGAGGAGTCTTCCACCAAATGAAGCTCTTTTCTTATACCTCTATCTTCCAAATCTAGTCTAGCAAATGATTGTGTCCTTTGTCTTGTGAGGAATATTAAGTAGAGTTGACAAAATGTTGTCACATATGTTTTCTCTATGTGCATAACATCAAGGTTGTATTGTAGCTTCAGTTTTGACCAATATGGCAAATCATACAAGCTAACCTTCAAATGCCAAACCGGTTCTCCATTACGGCGTCTTTTTCTTGATTTTGGCATATCTGGATTCTTGCCGGAACATAGCTAATTTCATCCAACCTTGCCATAACCTCATCAGCACTAAATTTCCTTGGCTGGTCTCTATTTTCATGGTGGCCATCAAAAGTTACATTTTTCCTCTAGGGATGGTCATGTGGCGGGAAACGTCTATGTCCTATGAAACCAATCTTGTTTCTCGGGCATTGAACATGGATTCTCATCACAATGCACACATGCAAAGTAACCCCTTGTGGTTTTGCACGACAAGGTGCCTAATGCTTGAGGTAGTCATTGATTCCCCATAGAATCATTGCCGACGCTTGATCTGAATTCTTTGCCTTCAATGACATCATAAGTAGGGACACCACCCCAAAGAGTAATCAAGTGCGCTATTAGAGGCTGCATGAACACATGGAAATCTTTACCCGGTGATTTTTTTGCCCGGAATTAGCAAAGCAAGCATATAATTTGATTGATCCATACACATCCATGGTGGCCAATTGTATGGAACCACTATCATGGCCATATGCTATATGAATTGGTCATCCGCCCAAATGGGTTAAATCCATCAGTAGCAATGGCTAACCTCAAACTGTGGGGATCATTTGCAAAAAGACTTGAAAGTCTCATCAAATTCTTTCCAAGCTTCCCCATCGCCAGGATGTCTCATTTCATTCTCAATGGTACCCTCTTTTCCTTGTGCCATCTTGCATATTGTGCCCGTTCCTTCGACATAAAAAGCTTCTGAAGGCATGGAATAATTGGAAAGTAACAAAGGACCTTGTGAGGAACATTCTTTCGCCCTCCTTGTTCACTTTCCATCGTGTGAATCCTAAACCGGGCAATGATCATCTCCTTCATGGTCTTTCCAAAATAAGGCACAATCATACTTGCACACATCAATAGAAACATAACCAAAACCAAGCTTCCAAGCAGAGCTTTCATTTCATTATATGACTTAGGAAGGCTGGGCACATTCTTCAAAGATGATTAAAGCAATGCAAGGAATGCATCGAACCAAGATGTTGTCATCCGATTGTACACTTTTATATCTGACTTAATAATGAAAGTTAGCCTAGACTCTTGATTGCACTGGATAAAGTTCACACTTTGCCTCTTCTATGATTTCTTTATATAAGTCACCACCAAAGCCATGGCTTGCTGCTGGCGCGTGCAAATCTTGAATCATCCCCTGAACTCCCGTGCACTATCTTCTATGACATCTTGACTTGTCCTTCCTCATCAAGTGGTGCCTGTTCATTTCCATCCCATGACATATCTTCGTGTACAACAACAAGTTCTCCATCATCATCTTGACCAACATCATTATCTTCCTCTCCATGGTGAATCCACCTAGTATAGCACCTAGACATACCATTGATTTCGATATGCTCTTGTACATCATCTTGGCTTATTTCTTTTCGGTTCGGGGCATTTTTGGCATGGACACTTGATTTTGTCATCTGCACCATATCTACCTCGACATGTTCCATGAATTGTTGAACGCATGGGACATAAAGTCTGGTGAAAATGGTGCACTCTTATAAATCCATCTCCTATCCATCTCGATCTGCAAGTATTTAGGTGCAAACAAGTAAAGGCAATGTAAGAAAATTTCAAAAGGGGAACACTCTGCTTCACTCAGCTCACCTTCTATTTTAGCAAAAACAGATCCACCTTGCCTCAATGGCTGGCCAAGCTCCTTTGGTGGGGCTTTCAGGACAGCGTGGTGGGGGCTTCTGTGATGGCGGCGGCTCAAGCCGGCCGACCAAGCACCACCACGAGTTGCCTCGCCACGGGTAGCAAGCAGGAGAAGGGAGGGGAGCAGCAGCGGGGGAGGGGCGGCGCGTCTGCTGAGGGCGAGGGGCGGCTACAACCGGCAAGAGAGGGGGCTGAGGTGGCGTGGGCTGCCAGGTGGGGTCGGAGGGTGGTGGGCGATAGTGGCCGAGCGGCCAAACTCGAGTGTGGGTTACGTGGCACGTGCTCGATTCAAAGACAAGTGAAGCACCCTTCTACATATGACATGTGGGCCCAGTTCTTATTTAGGCTAGTGTCAAGTGGACCCGGCGTTTCAATGACATGTGGGCCCAGATGTTCATCCGCTCCACCATTTGTTCAAGCGTTTTGTTTTTTTTAAATCTGTGGCAAAATCTTGTAACAAGTTTTTCTCCTACATACTATCTCCAAATCAGACATTTTTTCCTAAAATTTCTAAAATCATGATCTATCAATATGGTGAGTTGTTTTTCGGCCATATTTTCATGGTACAAACTTTGATCAAAGGAAGAAGTTCAACTTTTAAAAATTGCAACTTCAAACCAAAATTTGAAACTCAAATCACTTCATACTGCAAAAAGTCATGAATCGAGAGTTGAACAACTCATCAAGACCAACAATTCTTATTTTGGTCATTCGGTCATCCGACAAAGTGATAGTAAAGTAGTTCATAAAAATTACATGTCTCACTTCTAGTTCAAGAAACTACGACTTAGATTGTAGAATTTTAGACTGCTTTACTTCACGAAAAAATGGACAAACAACTCAAAATATTGATAGATATTTTAGAAATTTTTAGGAAAAAATGTCTTGTTCAGGAGAAAAACTTGTTACAAGATTTTGCCAAATTTAAAAAAAAAACGTTTGAACAAATGAACAAATGGAACTGATGAACATCTGGGCCAGCCCACCACGTGCCACCGACAAATTGGGCCCATGCGTCAGCCCAATTTTTCACTGCTGCACCCGCACTCTCCTGCTCCCCGACACATGGGCCCCTCCCCGCCTCCCGCTCAAGCCATCCAAAACCTCCTCGCCTTATGCTCTTGCCCGGTCAGTAATCTCCAATCTCCGTCCCCGCCGCCCCGCCTCCACAGCGCCCGCCGCCACCAAACCACCCGCCTCCGCACCTTCACACCATAGACCATGGCCTCCTCCTCCCTCCCCTAAACCCTGGCGCAGTCCCGCAGTCCCGCACGGCAACAAGCTCATGGCTGCGCCCGTGCGTCGCGCCGCAACCACTCTCGCCGGCCTCCGGCCACCGGCGACGAGCCTCCGCCTCCGCCTCCCCTCGCCAGCGACGAGCCTCCGTCCCTACTCCCCGGCCGCCAGCGACGAACCTCCGCCTCCGCTCGCCTCCATCCATACTCGCCTCCACCTCCGAGTCCGACCACAAGGTGCGTGCCCACGACCCTACCACGCGGCCTCTCCCTGCCACGGATCCAAGTCCCTGCTCGCGCCCATCCCAGTTAGATCGCTCGAGTCGCGTCGGATCTGGACCGCCTCGTCGGTCGGATCTCATGCTGCTGGGTTGGTGGCGCCGGCTCCTTGCTCGGGGCTTGTTCTAATGTGAGGTTCGGTTGGGGCTGATGCGATGAGAGAATTCCCAGTGTTCGACAGTCGAGGATGCGTTTAGAGGATGGTTACGGCTTAGAGCAGTATTGCTCGATGTGGGAGTGCTGGTAAATGGGCATGCTGGGACTTTGGGAGGAAATCTTAATAGCTCATGGGTTTTGAATTTTGAGTAGCAGATGGGCTGCGGTGCTTCCTCATGCTTCGAGTTGTGATGCATAGGAATGTAGAGCTCTTGCTAAGGAAAAAGTCTTGTAAATTTGGGGTTTAGGACATTTGTGTTGACTGTATTGTGTGTGTGTGGGTGGGTGTTTTTCTTCCATTAATGAGTTATAATTTGTTTGCCTTCAATTGCATATTGTACTTTCGTAGTTAGTTATGTGCCCTGTCATCGATAATTCAACGTACATGTTATGTGCTGCCCTGAAGCTATGGATCTGTTTGATTAGAATTGCTTCAATGCTCACTCAGCTTTTATCTTGCTGAGTGCTGACTGATTAGGCGCCTATGCGACCAAATTACAACTTGCTGACTGAGCATAATGCAGCACTGGTGTAATAGTAAACGTATCCGTGTATTGGATTTTTGAGGAAATTGCCATATCCGCGTATCCATATCCTTCCGATACCGATACGCATATCCGTATCCGTGCTGCATAGTGGAGATGTATGTGGTTTTATGTGATGGGAAGTGCTCTTGTTGGAGATGTATGTTGGAGATGTGAATCCTTTTAGATCCTTGTGAAATACCTGTTGTCTGCCTAACACAATTGATGCCTTGCCACTGCCAGCAAAATCATTGACACAAAAATTCCACTGGTTAAGACAAAGGAACCCATTTTGTTCATTTTATTCTGTTTTTTTTGTTTCTTTACAATTTCACTACTGATGTGTTAGTTTTTTCTTCAAATTCTTTTCAGAAACTGACTCCAGTTTCTACTCATTCTATGCGTTTGCATGTAATAAGTAATAGAAGAACATGACCAAAACCAAGTATGAGCGGGACAGGGACAAGAATGTTAAGGAAATTCAAGATGTTTTTAAATCTTTGGGTATTCGAATCTTAACAGAAGATATTAGAGGTTCTATGCCAAAATAGCCCGAGGGCAAAGGGAAGAAACTACTATCTGACAATCGTGATTCTGACAATGATTATGATCCATCATCTGATATTGATAACCAATCTCACACTGATGATTCTGATGAGGTGAGATGCATTACTAGGAAATTGACAAGTTTATGGTCTGTCCATTTCAATCATATTCTTCAGTGCAGTTCATTGATCTACTTGACACTTATTTCATAATTAATAAGATACATTTTCTCTTGTCAGTAAAGTCCAATGGTGCCAGGAACTCGCCCAAAGAAGCAAAAGTTGGCAACAAAGGTGGCTGCCAACCAGGAGCCACCACGCACGCCAACCAGATTGACTAGGCAAAGTGCAGCCATGCCTTCGCCTGGTGGCCGTCCACCACCTAAAATAAGACATCCCTTGCCTCCTAAGTACACTTCCAAAGCCAACCCTAAACCTCCACCTATTTCTAGTACCAGCCAACTGCAAGCCCAGCTCACTACAAGCAGCAGCCAGACCAACCAAACTACAAGCACAGTGCCTACTCATCCAATAATCACTAGGACCGATCCAGCCATGTCTTCACCTCTTCCAAACACAGTGCCTAGTCCTCGTAAGTTCACTAGGCAAACTGCAGCCAAGCCTATGGCTGGTGCAAACCCTGCGTATCATCCTAGTGTCTCCACTGCTACCTTGTCTCATCAACCTACTCCCAATGATGTAGCCATGTCTACGGCTGGTGCACCCATTTCTTCACCTCTTCCAAACACAGTGCCTAGTCCTCCTAGGCAAACTGCAGCAAGGTCTACGCCTAGTCCAAACCCTGGTACCTTGTCTCGTGAACCTACTCCCACAACTAGTGTAAACCAAGTGCTGGAAACCTCGCTAGGTGCACAGAGTTCTAGGCAAAGCAATGACCTCAATGAGTCAGTTGAACAATTTGGGGCTGCTACTTCAGAGGGTCATACAGATGAAGGAGAACGAGTTGGTGACTTGGTTCCAAGTAAACAATATGTGTTTCCAAACATTATTTTCTCCATTCAGTATGATCCTTTGTTACTGCTATAGCAACACATGTTGCTTATTATTTGCCAATGCAGTGCGCCGAAAGGAAGTCCGCAAGAAAACCATGGGTCATGGATTAGAGAAGATGCTAAATAGAGGAAAGAAGCTAGCTATCCAAGTGGCTGAAGGGAAGAAAAGACCTGATGTACCACTTCAGGCAGCAAAGCTGGCATCAGAAACTGGTGTGCTTCTTAGAGACAACTTGCCTATCTTCCCATCCTGGAAGGATTATAACGATGAGGCGGGGCAACAAGAAGTCAAAAAAGTGCTTCAGAAAGTGGCGGTGAGATATCTAATTCACTCCAAGTACTTCCCTGCATTAGTCTAATCCCATGTGAAAATTGTGTCTACTAAATCATTTGTGTGCCTGCAGTCTAGGTTGGATGTGGACGTTAAGAACGAGGGACCAAGCCTTGATGCATGCACTGATATCATTAAGAGGGGAGTAAGGCAGACGAGGTATCACCTAAAAAGGAAGTACTTCGATGAGTCACTGTCAAGAGAATAGTTGTTGGCCAAAGAACCTCCACCAAAGATGAAGAAAGAGGAATGGATCAAACTAGTGGAGTATTGGTGTGACCCAAAGAATCAGGTCCATGACCAGCATCAGCTGCTTTTGTTAATATGGAATGCAAACTGTGCATGTCAATGTAAACTTCGTATTGCATTTGTGGTGCAGGAGAGATGTGCTAAGAATAAAGTCAACCGAGGCCAAGTGCAGCTACACCAAAGGACTGGATCTAGGTCCTATATTGCCCATCGGTATAGCCTGGTAAGCATACTATTGCTTCTTCCACTGAAATGTGAAAGGTTTTGGAGGCAAACCTGATTGCCTGATGAATGGCTTGAACCTTTTCGTTACTGTGCAATGCAAACTGTATGTACATGTTTGCTTGAAAGTTCGCTACAAAGCTGGCATTGTGTTTTCTGTATAATTAGTAAGAAAGATGGGTCAATTTTAACATAGTACTTACCATGTGCTTGGTTTGTGTCAAGTTATCACATGTTGTTTGATTTCTTAGAATATACAAAAACCAATCTTATGTCTAGTGATTTCTAGCACAATAATTGGCATCTAGCTATTGGCATGTGTTCCTAGTTCCTAGTTCAGATTTCAGTAAAACCAATCTTGCTGCTAAGTGTTCCTAGTTCAGATTTCATGGTCACACAAATAATTTCAGTGGCACCTCATAGTTAAGATTTCAGAGTTCACCCTCTCTTTAGCTTCATTGTAATCCAAGTTTTTTAAATGTTGCAGAGGGCTAAGTACAACGACATGAAACCTGATGCTGTTGATTTCTTTGGTGAATGCATGAATAGTCCCCAAAGTGGTCGAACTCCTCTTGCCAATGAAATATATGTAAGTTACAAAATGATAGGATACATCTACTATACTCAATTACATGCCTGGTTGAACACTGTTCTATGGACTTCTTATTTACTACATTCAATTTTTGTAGGCACAAATGGTGGCAGAGAAGGAAAGAGAGCCAGAAGAAGGAGAAGCACAAAAGTCACCCTCCAAGATTGTTGCTGACAGTCTCAACCAGATTAGCCATTCATCCACCTTTCTTCCCAACACTGGTGTCCCTTGACCATCAAAGACTGGCCGTGCCTCATCGACAGCAGAACAAGCACACATGCAAGCTGAGTTTGAGGCAAGACTCCAAGCTGAAAGAGATGAAGCTGCTAGGAAGCAGGAAGAATTGCAAGAACAGCTTCAAGCTCAGCAGGCCGCACTTCAAGAAAACAAGAGTTTGCTGCGCCAGACCCAAGAGGAAGTGAAGGGGATGCATACCAAGTTTGAAGAGACTAATGCACTGCTGCGAGCTGACCTGAAACTTCAGAAAGATTGATGTGTATGCACTTCTATGAATTGTGTATGATTACTGCCTTCTGATGTCAAGCCTGGCGATGATGGCTGGGCTGATATATATATCTGTGTGTATTCTGCTTTGGTTCCATGTGATGAAAGATTTGTATGTCGTCACTGAATATGAATGCCAGCATCGTCATGAATGCCATGGCTAATTGTGACGCCATATAGTTGTCTCAAAACATGGCCTACAACCATACCAAACAAGACAAAACATCAGTGTCATATAATCTACATAAACATAACATGACATGAGAGGGACGTCACAAAAAGTCATCCAAACCTGACTCCCAACCCGCAATTTGTGACGACAGTTGCAAAATGTGACGCGTTGACCAACTATTATGTGACGGTTTCTACCGTCACAAAAGGGAACAATTTGTGACGACATTTGGTAACCGTCACAAAAGGTCAGACAATTTGTGATGGTTGCTTATGAAATCATCACGCGGTACATTATGTGACGGTCGTTATATGACGACCAGCGTGACACGTGATTTTCGTCATAAGCTGCTTTATATGACAATTTTTTGACTTAACGTGACAAATGGTGTTTGTCATACAAGCCCAGATTTTTGTAGTGTGGGGAAGGGGTGTTGTGAGCTTGGCATGGCATGGCGAAGGTGGTGGTGCATGCAGCCGCGGCTGTGGTGGGGAGTAGAGGCGGGAATGGTAGCGGCGGTCGGAGCTCCATCGGCCGTCCATGCCATCCGAGCGCTACACGCGTGTAGGGCGAGGGAGAGCGCAGAGGGAGTGGAGAGAGCGAGAGAGAGACTGAGAGGGGGCTCGGGCGTCCGTGACCATGTGGCGCGGAGGTAGGGCGCTGCTGCCCTACATGGTGGCCACGCGCCCAGACACGTGGCGTCGTCTGGGGCACTTCCCCGAGCAGGTGATGGGCAACGATGTGGCCAGCTTGGGATCCATTTTTGGGCTGGCTTCGTTTGAATTTGGGCCATGGGCCTTGAAACAAAGTTGTTCCTTTCCTGATGCTCTCCAACTCATATTTAGGGTGCTCGGCCATTAGAGCAACTGATTAATGGGTAATTAGTGCCCAACATGATAATGTCAGCGTGTTGACAGCGATGAGCAAAAATCCAAATTGATGGTCAAAACAAAGTCAAACTGGTGCCATCTTTTTGTATGCTCTTCTCTAAAACATATAGTCCAACTTTTATATTTGGCTCAACTTGAGTTGCTTAACAAAAACATGAGAACACGAAATGCCAACCATCATCAACACTGTAATCTCAGACTTAGCCAAAATTTCAAGAACCAAAACAGCACTGGGTTCAGTTTTGAGGCCTCAGTTTGACTAAGTTAGGGACCAAACTAGCTCTTGACCCTTAAACAAAGTTTGTTGTACACCTCTTTTTCTGCTACTTTGCTTAAAGGATCATGGACTGGTTTAGCTTGGTTAGGAAGGTACAATTCTCCAAAGTGGGGTACACAAAACTGAAACCGAGATTCAGTTAACTCCTGGAAACAGTTAGTCTTTGCTGATTTTGAAACTAACTTCGAAGATCCAAATGAACTCCAAACTTGATGAGACTTGCTTCATTGTTTCCAGCACAAAGTGTACTTAAACTCATATTAAGGAATCTAGTTGAGTTACCATATGAATTTGGAAGATAAAAATGTCACAACATGTCAACTCGCTGTTGTTAATCAGGGACGAGATTCCAAGGGGCCAAAACAGTACTGCATTCAAACATGAGGCCACTGTTTGAGCCACTTAGGAGTTGAATCAGGGCTTGGTCCAAAAATAAAGTTTGTTGTACTCCACTGAAACTTCAACTTTTATTTAAGGTCAAACTTGATAACTTGTTTCCACACTATTATTTGACCTTCGTCAAAGCAGCATCATGATAAACCTTAAATTGGAGTTTTAGACCCATTGAGAAATTTTCTTAGCATTTGCTCAACATGGACCCTTCATGACTTTTGTGGTATAGTTCAATTAGAGTCATTTGGGCAAGGTAGCAAGGTTTGGTCGACATCCCATGTTTCCATTCACTTAATACAGCAATTCAAGCAAGGTTATAACTTATCATTTCATGTGACTTCTTGACTCCAAACTTCATGAAACTTTTCCAATAGTCAATGTAGATGGAAATAGATGTGAGGCACATGAAAAGGGGCACCTTCCACATTACTCAAGCGTACCTCTGAAAAGGGTCAACATAGAAGCAAGGTGTGTTGTCCAATTTTAAGTTGGGGCTCATTCTTAGAGAGTTGATCCCAACACCTTTGTCATCACTTACAAGTTTGAACTAGAGCTCTTGATTACCACTGAACGTGTCATGTTGGTGTTCAAACCCATTGCTTAACTGGTGACAAACACCTGGGGTGTTACAATTTCAGGTTTGAAGCAAAAAGAACGAACGATGACTTTGCCTTGTAAAATTCAAGCCTGGGGGATGGGCTTCTCTGAAAAATCTTATGCCATGTTGCTAATTGATCTTGGTTGTCTACCTTTAAATCATGCTCAATAACAATCATGCTTTTTCATCTCTAATTGAATAAATCTCTATAATGCTTTCATACTACTTTTGTTTGCCATAGTATACTTAAGGTTTGGAGTATTTTCATACACCTTTTACATTAGGCATGGTGCTTAGTTTAAACCAAAAGGTGTGTTGATTTTACTTTCAAAGGCTTTTAAATTAAGCGAGGTGCTTAGGTTAAAATGCCTTCCTAAATCAAATTAGATGTGGTGTCTAGGTTGATTTTTGAGCCGAAAGTATGCTTTAGTAGATACTGGTTATTTTGTTGGACTAACCACTATAGGAAACTCTCAAATCAATTTGGGTAAGTCACGAGATGAATTTAAATCGGAGATGAAGCAAGGCACATGATGAACTCCAATAACGTTGCGCAAAGAAGACACAACTCATTCATGTTCATTCACTTTGTCTTCTATTGCAAGTTACCATTGCCTTGAGCCATGCTTGTATAAAACATAATAAACAAAAACTATACTAAAATAATTCTAACACCATCTTTTCATTAGCATAGAGAGAAATTACAAAATCTTGGACAAACAACCCGTGTTTCAAAATTATATATTCCTTCAGATATGTGTTGTCCACTAATCCTTTGTAGGCATAAAACAATGAGTGAGAAAAAAATGTCTAACAAGGTGCTAAAAGATCAAAGAGCAGAAAAATGGCATGACAAAAGAATGAGAAGAAAATGGTGCAGTCTAGGAGACAAGAAGCTCATGAACAACTCGTACTACGAGGCTAGCCGAACAAGGAAAACTTCAAACAAAAGGGAAGGACCATCACGAGTCATCTACCCTTCGTCATATGGTGACATCACGCTTCAATAATAAAGGACACACTTTAAGCAAAATGTGGAGGAGTTAGTCAATTCCCTAATTTCTACAAGTGAAGGTCCTGAACATGTCAAACCAAAATCAAAACTCAAAACCAAGACAGGTTTGACAGAAGAAGGTGACATCACCATTAGAGGCGTCATCACAAGAATCTTTGTCTTTAAAACAAACTGAGGTATTAATGAACTTCACAAGGAGAAGTCCAGTTCGAAGGACTTACAACACTGAACCCTCATCGAAAGAGCTAGCTTGGAGGAGAAGCACTCCCGTGCATCTAGGTAAGTATTCTTTCTCCTTTTGTTTTAGATTTTATTTTTTTTCAATAGTTAAGAAAATGATGAATGAAACAAAATAAAAAGTTATCTTTATAATAAATATATATAGCTATAGTAATAATGTGTGATCTAGTAAAATTAAAAATAAAATAAAAGGTATGTCTAGTTTGCTTTAATCTATTTTTAAGAGTTGAATAAATAAAGAGCACTCAGAATAACCTCTTGAATGGAAATGATGAATAGTTGCTCTGTTGTAATTCCTTTCAACACTACTGCACAAACTTTACTGGAGGCGGGCATTTTTGGTTTTCCGCGGCGGGCAAAGCCTTCCGCCGCGACCTAGAGGCCACGGTAAATCGTGGCTTAACCGCGGCGGGCGGCCTTGCCCGCCGCGGTTAACCGATTTACCACGGCGGGCGGTGTAGCGTGCCCGCCGCGGTAAATATTCTTTTACCACGGCGGGCACGTTAGCATGCCCGCCGCGGTTAATCGTTTAAAAAACAAAAAAAATAGGAACCCACTGGCAAGCCCATTCTTGAGCCCATCGACGAGCCCGTCCCAGCCCAATACTGGAGCCACCGCACCTCGCTGGATCCGCCGCCGGATCTGCGCCGACGCCGCAGGTTGGGGCCGTCTTGCCATGGATCCATGCCGCCGCCGTGTGGATCCACATCGCAGGGAGTCGACGCGGCCGCCTAGATTCACCGCCGTGTGCCCGTCCCTGCGCCGCGCAGCACCTCACCTATGAGAGAGAGAGAGATGAGGGAGGACTGAGAGGAGAGAGAGGGTGGGAGAGAGAGGGAGAGACATACCGGGCGCCCTGGATCCACCGCAGACGCCGCCGCGCGGGCCTCGCCGAGCGCGCCTCACCGAGCCGAGCACGCCTCGCCGCCGCCCTGCCTCGCCTCGCCTCACCGAGCGCCGCCGCACGCGCCTTGCCTCACCGAGCGCAGCCAGGGAGGGGGCGCATCGTCGGGGAGAGAGGAGCGGAGGGAGGAGGGCCGTCGGGAGGAGTGTAGGGCAGGGGAGAGAGAGTGGTGCGGCGTGAGAGAGGAGGGGTAGGGCAGGGGCGAGGGAGAGAAGTGTGGTGCGGCGCTGAGGACTCACAGTGAAACCCTAGGCTCTTATATATATATGTGACCTCGGAATTGGACCGTATCTAGGCTCTGGATCGGGCCGTATTTACTGCGGCGGGCCTTATAAAATGCCCGCCACGGTAAATCGATTTACCGTGGTGGGCAAAAGTGCCCGCTGCGGTAAATAAAAAATACCCGCCGCTGTAAATCGTGGGATTTACCGCAGCGGGCAAAAATAGGTGCCCGCCGCGGAGTGCAAAAGTGCAACGCTGCGCAAAATCGTTTATGTAGT